TTCTTTTTCCTCCCCAACTTATGTTTTAGGTTTGAAAAAGGCCCACCACAAATGCTTTTCTATTTTCTCTATTAAAGTAGCTTTTGAATGTGACCATGAAACCAAGAGGTGATGCTGCCTGTGTGGTGCTTCTGGGTGCCTCCAGTTCTGCCTTCTGAAGAAGGGTATTTCTCCATTGAGCACAGGGGGAAAGATCTTATGTGTCTACTGTGATCTGCCTTGCACGCACTTCTTGAGAATAAGGGCATAGTGCTGCTCCTCACTTCCTTGTTGCCAGACTAAGTGGCCCAGGAGCAGTCACTCAGCCCTGAATGTCTTAACTATGTTGTTTTTAATCACTGTGACCCTTAATTTTGAGGTACAGGCCAAGTGTTGTAAAGCACCTTGGCCATGAAGCAGTGGAGAGAGCAGAGCATTCCCTTTAACTCAGTAGGTCCTGAGGAGACCACACACTGGCTAAGCTGCCACCACTGCCCTGATGAACTCAACTGCTGTTTATGATGCCATCTTCCGTCTTTTGTATCCACACCCACACAATTCCCAATGTTGGATGTTACTGCGTGAATAAAGCAAGGATCAGTGCCTCTTGTGTAATTAACTTTCCATTGCTTTTGCGTGTATGTATGTGTATTTCATTCATTTCTTTACTTCAGTGGGACCCCTTAGGAGAAGACACAGGACTTTACAGTTTGGTGACAGGTTGGCATACAGTTATGTTGGCAATTTCAACCCCAGTTTTTAACTTCATTCTCAAAACAGATTCTCTGGACTGATCCTGACCCTTTAAGATAGTTCCAGTTGAGGTATTTGGTTAGAATTGGATTGACTCTATATCAAACCCATTCAAAATGATGAGTTGCCCTAGGTTACCCATTCCCAGTAGCATCACTCTTCTGTCTCTACTACCTCACACTAACCACAGCTCGGCTGGAAGGAACCTTCTATAGAGTGACAAAGCAAAGGCAATTGAGGGTTTCTGATCAAGAGCCACCTTCTGGTTGTGAGAAGGGAACCAGACCGACCACCATTTCCAAAGTGTCTTTGGAAACTGTTGAGGAGTCTTCCTAATTATGCAAAGAAAGGGGGGCGGGAGGGCGGAGAAGGGTTCCATGGTAAAGTTTTAGACTAAACAGGTTCCATGACTGCCTAAGGAAAGTCTTTAGTATGCTGATGTGCATTTTCATGAGCACGTAAACATACAGTTATATGTCTAATTCTTTAGACAACCCTCTTGACTTCATTACTGCCCACAACTCCACCTACAGAAAAGCTTAAGCTTTTCCTAAGATATCCTGCTGGCTCACTCCCACACTTCAGAGGCCCCTGCCCACTGCATGTAAAATACTGTTTCCCCCAGCCCACAATAACGTAGGCGCTAAGAGATTTGTTCACTCATGCCTCCCTAGTGCTGAGAGCAAGCAGTGCCTAGCAAGTTGTAGGTGTCCCAGTATTTAAATGAGTTTCTTTAAAAGGAGCATAACATATGCAGACTTGTAGCCCCTTCTCCCTGCAACCATCTTGGAGGATAAGTGTTCTGCAGAAAAGATGGTGGGCTGGACAGCCTGGAAGAAGTGCTGCTGTGATGTCCTGGCATCCCCTATCCAGATCCTTTGCCCTGGGAGCACTAAGCTTTCATATTGTAACAGAACATTAGATTTTGCACTGTGTTCTTAGAAGTTGGGCTTTGTAGCATGTAGTATTCTTTTTTTAATTGAGAAGATGAATTTATAATTTACAATTTTTAATTCCCAGAATCCTACCACCATTGAACCTTTTAGTATTAAGAGCATTTTTCCAAGTTAGTACAGTTTTCAGAATTTTTGAAAACCATTAAGAGTCCATCCGTGTCATACCATAGTTTATTAAATCAGTACCCTAATGGTGGGTGTTTGCTAATTCTTGATAATGCTGTGAGAATGGGTTTTGAACAGTCTGGAGTGGCAGTCCTCTGCCATTGATTATATCCTGTATTCTCATCTATAAAATGGGAAAATGCCTACCTCAAAGATGGTGAGACGGTGTATGTAAAGTGCTTCACCCAGGCCTGCCTAGCACATGGAACTATTTCTTCTGTTAAATAGTTCCCTTAGGCTGAATTCCCAGGGTCAGAGGGCAGGAGACTTTATGGCTGGTAGTACTTGTAAGCATATCCCCTTTTCCCAAAAGGTAGCCCTGCCGAGTGTACAAATCCTGAAGACTGTAGCTGTCATTCCATTTTTATGGTAACACTGGGTTTACTGACTTCCTGTAAAGACTGCTCTTGGGATGGTTGCCTGTCTCAAAATGATCCTGATATACCCTGCCACCCTTGCCTATAGGGGCATCAAACTCTCCCAAGGGTTTGCAACAGAGGCATAGTCCATGGAGCTTTGTTACATTAATGGTGTTACTCTTAGAAGGGACCAAACACTTGCTGGGTCCCCTGTAGCTGCCATGGCTCCTGTCCTTTCACACTTTCCCTGATAACATAAAATATTCCTGAACGCTCGTAATCATTGCCCCTTGATTTAAGCTTGGCTTTGAAGCCATTGGAGAACCCCTTGTTCTAAGGGGTAAGTATTAATGGATATTGCTCTTATTAAAAACCACCATTTTAATGGGCATCTTTTTAATTTATATTTGTCAGCTACAGATTTTCATGAGCTTTTAAATGAGCCAGAAATCAAATCAAAGCCAAAATATTACATGGGAAGTTGGCCAAACCTAATCATATACTGGGCAACAGCTTCAGTGTTGTAACTATTTTGGCCTTTGAGAATTATGAGTGCTTCATTTGAGTCCCAGACATACCAGTGCACTAGGAAAAATGCCTTATTTAATCAGCACAGCAACCCTTTCAGGTAGGTATATTATCCCCATTTTACAGATAAGGAAATGGAGACTCAGAGAAGATAGGCAACTCGTCCAAGGGGTCACATATGTGGTAAGTAGGGAGGCAGGATGCAGTCCCAGGCATTTGGGCTCCAGAGCTTGTGCTCTGCCTCTGCAATGCTGCCTCTCATGACTGTCATTTTCAAAAGTTATTACCTGAATGCCTGCAGCAAAAAGCAGTCCCTGCCCTCCAGGCACTTACAGTCTAGTGGAAATGACAGATGAGCAAACCAGTTGTAAATATAACCTGGTAAAGCTGTGACAGAAGTAGCACACAGAAAGGGCCAATGCCAACTCAGGTCAGGAAGGTGTCTTGAGAAGGCAACTTCTGAGCTGAGCTATAAAGGTAATGAGGGTTAGCCAGTGGGAGAAGACAAAGAGCATTCCAGGTAGAGACAACACCACCACATGTAAAGGCACACAAGCCAGACAGTTCTTTCCACAATTAATCCCATGTGTCTTGAGAATAGAGGCCAGTTAGGGAAGAAAAAGGAAGGGGGCAGATCCTGAAAGGCTTAAATGCCATGCTGAGGGGTCTGGAATTCCACTAGGCAGTGAATAACTGATGGTGGTGAACAGGAAAGACTGATGGGAAGTAAGTGGCAGGAAGACTAGTTACGAGGTTACTGCAAAAGTCCAAGAAATAAAAAGGGCCTAACCTAAGGCAGTGGGATGAGAAATGGGTTAGGACCAAGACATACCATGGAAAAATTAACATGATTTGACAATTAGAGAGGAGTGGAAGACGCTAACATGGGCAACAGGGTGGACAGTGGTGCCATTCCCCAAGATGGGGGATTCGTGAAAAAAAACAGACTGGGGGCTGGACAGGGCAGGGTTCAACTGAGGTCCCTGTAGAGATCCAAGTGCAGCTATTAGATAGGCACCTGTATATATCCCCTGCTGCTCCTGGGGAGGACTGAGTTCAAGGTGGAGATTGTGGAGGCATGAGTATGGAGTCTCAAGCCATGGGCTCGGACAGCCAGGAAGCTGGAGAGAAAAATTAAAGAGGGTGGAGAGGTGCTGGCATAAGAAGAGTCAGCAAAAGAAACTGTGTCCAGAGGAAGAGGAAAGCCAGGAGAGACTGTTGTCACAAGAATCGAGAGAGGAATTACAGAGTTATTTATGACAGGGGCATGTGGGGACTGACTGCCTAAGTTTGTGTCCTGCCTCCACCTCTTCCAAATGACATGATCTTGGGCAAATTATTCAACCCAAAGTCTCAGTTTCCCAATCTGCAATATGAGATGAATTATCTCCAACTCTGTGAGACTGTTGTGAGGGTTCAATAAGATAATGCAATCTGTGTTAAAGAATTCAGGACAGCACCCAGGAAATGCTAACATATATACATATATGTTATATCTCTCTTTCTGTAAAGTCAAATGCTGGAAGGGTGGAGTATACGTAATTAAGAACACAAAGGTAGATGCTGGACTGGATTGTTTGCATCTGCTCTATAATTATTTAGTTAACCAAGTCACATATTCCTTTTTAAAACCCTTATGGGCAAGGATGAATGAGACAGTCTCAGGCCTTAGCTCCCTGTGTGGTCAAGAGATCTGGGCATTGGGGTGTGTAAGGGGTAGAGGAGATGCTGACGGTAGGGTTTGAGGGATAAGGGAGGGTTAGAAGGAAGTGGAAGGTGGAGAAGAGTTGGGGTCCAGGTCAGAAAGTGAGAAAGTAAGAATAGGTAACCCTGTCAGTTTCTGTTCTGTGCACCTAGAAGAGCCAAACTCATGCACTTGCCCAAACAAGACCTGTCTGCTGTACCTTTGTGGAAAGACACCCTGATCATCTGGGCTCCCACAGGAGGTGCACTCAGGCAGAGGTGCAGGGAGGGGTATTTGTGCACCAGGGGCCCACTCACCAGTCAGAGGAGGGAGGTGTCCATTCATTGGTACAAGCAGGAGGGCCAGCAGGGCTTGCCCCATGGGCCTAGTGACCAGACCAACACACTACTCTTAGCTGCAATAACTCACAGACATTGGAACACCAAAAAGAGCTCTTCTTGCTATTATCTTCCTCTGACTCATTTTTACAATATTCTATTCACGTTTTCTTTGTAAGCTGCCTGAAATACATTTTGGAACAAGGCGAGTATAAAAATAAGTAGAAAACAAAAAGAGTAAAGAAAATTATGCTCTTTTATTTTTTAAGAGAAAAATCACCTGAATCTGGATTAGGTAATAGTAAGTGCTCTCATTTATTAAATATTGTCATAATAAGGATGTGCTCCTTTCTTTTTCAGATGAGGAAGATGAGGCTCAGAGAGATTAAGTGACTTGCTTAACAACAAATAGTGTGGAAAGGAACTCAGTTCAACACAAAGTCTATACTCTTAACCCAGTCCCCTTAAAGTAGAGCAAGCTACTTAACCTCTTTGAGTCTGTTAGTGTTCTGGTTATCTACTGATATAGAACAACTCACTCCAAACTTAAGTGGCTTAAACAACAACAATCATTTATTATCCCTCATGGTGCTGAGCTTTGACTGGGGTCAGTTAGGCAGTTCTTACTAAGTTCTCAATCAGACTAGTGGCTTAGCTGGAGGCAACTCGAAGGCCTCCTCACTCAAGTCTGACAGCTGATATGGCTGTCAGCTGGAACATGTACACATGGCCCCTCCATGTGGCCTGGGCATAGTGAGTGGCTGGGTCACGAGATACAAGTGGAAACTGCTAGTTCTTAAGAGCAGGACTGGGAGACTGGTATAGATAGCATCACCATCATCACTGTATTCTATTGATCAAAAAGCCACAGAGTCTAGATAAAGGGGAGAGGATATAGACTCCATCTGCCAATGGGGCCATGTCCTTTTTAGAAGCATCTACAAAATCTATAAAATGGGCACAACCACATAATGAAAACCTGAAGCTTTTGGCAACCCAAGCCTCCTTTCTTCCAGCACTAGAACTCAAATTTTCCTTTTGGGGATTCTCCCTTCTCCTCCTCTGCTCTCACAGGCCCTGTGGCCCACCCTCTGCCACCACTTAGAACCTGCCTGAGAACGACATCAACAGAGCAAGCAAAGCTGAGGAATAGAGAAATTTCTGATGGCAGTTCTTGAAGCCCTGGGTCTGAATATCTACCCCCGGACTTTTCAATTTGTGAAACAGTAAACTTTCTCCTGCTTAAGCACATTTGAGTTCAGTTTTTATTACTTGTAACCAAAAGTTCACACTACACCAGGAAGCGGTTTATTGTTATTATGGGATAACTCCATTATGAAGAATGTGTCCATGGCGGGCGGGGGGGGGGGGGGGGGTTAATTTGTCCAAAGTTAATCAACGGCCCAATTGGGATTCAAACCCAGGATGCCTGGCTCAGAATCTTTCACCCTGCTCTACATCTGTATTTCTGTGGTCTTGTCAGATGGCCCCGTGAATAGTATATGATGTCCTTATGGGAAAGAATATAACCTGGCCAGGGTTGGCTAATACCTACACTCACACAACCACATTTCAATTCCTTGCCCATAAAAAACATGTCCAAATTATCATGTTACTATTTCCTAATACTAAAGACTGCTCCAAATCCTCAAAAAGCACTCCAGCAGCTGCTACTAAATGTTCTGAAATGGCAAGTGAAATGAGGCCTGAGATAGACTAAAAACAAATTATGGCCTTATTTTGAAGCTCCTCAAATTAAGAGGAATTGGGGCTTGGCTATGCGACTTGCTTTAGCCACTGGGACCTTATAAATATGACACAAGCAGGAGCTTGAAGAACACTTGCGTATAGGGGCTTAGCCTGTATTGCCTGCTAGATGCTGGAAACACGTGGGCTAGTTGCCCCTGTTGCCCAGTCAACCACTTGACAAGTGGGTGAGGTTACCTGGAACCAAGCAGCCCCCAGCCAATCTGCCAGCTCACTTCAGCCATGTGAGAGTCCAGCTAAGTAGAAGAACCACCTGGATGAGCACAGCCCAAATTGCCAAGCCAAAGAATAGGAAGCTAACAAAGGTTTATTAAGGGTATTAAATTTCAGGGTGGTTTGTTAGCAGTTAAGAACTGATATAAGGCCCATTTACTATCCCTGATTTGGCCAACCCCTCATACAGATAAGGAAAGACTTGTCCAGGGTCACAAACCTTATTGGCAGCACACAACCCAGTAAACGCACTGGCTGGGATATTCCTTCAAGCTGGCTGCTAGGACGACAAACAAGGCTTCACATCTTGAAAACATCTAGAGAATATTGGTCCTTTGAGCAGAATCTGGTATCACATTTCTTCACCATCTCCTTTTGGTTTTCAGAGGTTGGACACAAAAATTATAACTATTGAGCAATGGAATGGAAAATCTTTCCTGACCCAAGACAGAGAGGGTGGGCATGTGGACACAGGATTTTGTGGATGTGAACCTCCCAAGGCTCAGGAGCCAACTGTGAGCTTTCCCAGGGGCTTTAGTAGTTCAGCAGCTTTTCTGGGGTGCTGGAGGGGGATTCCATTCTCACTCTGTCCAGGATATGTCCTGGCACCAGGGTGATTAAGCAGGGTCTCTGGGTAGGGCAGATGCTTCCTGTCCTGGAAGGGGTCTTCCCTGTTCTTCTCATGACCCTCTATGCTTAGCATACTAAGGAAGCCCACGGCCCCCACTGTTCTACCTGTCCCCTAAGCTCTGAAAAGTGAGTGCCTCAGTCAAGCACTACTGAGTGGGGCCTTGTAGAGTCTGGGAATGTTATTACAGTGCAACGTGCACAGAGCACTAGGCTCTGGGGACACAAGAACACAGTGCCAGCTCTCAGTGTGAAGTTCATCAGGCTCCAAAACCCCTTCTTTGGACTTTGCCCAAGTCCTTGAATAGGTGGGGACACGAAGACCTGACCAGGTATACAAGTGGGTCTGCTAGAGCTGGGCTCTGACCTGCTCGGCAGCAAGGAAGATTAGAGGTTCAGGAACTGGAGGGGTATGTTCCACCAAGGGCTCTTAAGGAGGGATGAGACACTCCCTGTGGACCTAGCCCCTTCCTCTGGACACCTTCTTAGCCTATCCAGACTGAAGCCTTTCGTTTTGACCAAGTTGGGCCAGGTCCCAGCCCAGTTCCAAGGGCTATTTTTCACCCCAGGTCTGGATCTCTCAGACTGAAAGCCTCAGACTCTACTCTTTCTCCCCTTGCTGCCTAGGGTCCCTGGCAGGCAGACATATGGGGACTGTGATCTCACTAGGCAGCTAAAGCTCCGAAGGGGCAGAAATATTGCTCCAAATCACACCAACAGGTAATGGCCAAGCAAGGATGGGAGTATTTGGCTCAGCTGTGGGTCCAGAACTCTGACTGCCTTGGGGCTGGCTAGTCAGGCTCATGCATAGCTTGGGAACACAGAGCCACACTTGGGCTTCAGACTGCTGGCCTGCCAATGGCAGGCAGGAGGGCTGCCCAGAGAGGGAGACATGAGACAACAAAGACTTCCCTAGGGAGACTGAGCACTGAGCACTGTCCCAAGCCCAGGCTCCATCCTCTACCAAAACCTGGAGCCAAAGCCCAGGCGGAGGTTTGGTGGAGGCTATGTTGTAGACGCGTTGGTTTGAAATTGGGGATTTTCAATAAGGATTCTAGCAGGCCTGAAGAACATGTCAAGATGGAAGGAAGAGCCCAAACCCCTTTCTGATGATGGGATTTCATTCCCTGTGTTGGAGAATGCTGTCCAGAGGAGAGAATAAACAATTCTCGAAGAGCAATAGGGCCGGTCGGGGAGACTTCTCAGAGGTGGTGACACTAGAACAGTGGCTTAATGATGAGTGGATACTTCCCAGGTGGAGAAAGTAGGAGCAAGAAGAGTACATGCCAGGCTTGTAACAGCATGTTTCTGGGTGCTTGCCCACCCACGGCACCATACCAATGAGACTAGGCTAAGTGGCCACACTTGTATCATCCAGTTCACTGGACCAGGGAGGGTACTTATAACCTATGAGTGATTAAAAAAGATTTGCTGTGGAAGTTGATTCTCTCTTGGGGACTTACAATTGGGGAAATTGATCAATTTGTGGTGAGGAATAAAGGGGAAGGGGTGAAGTTAAGACAGAAGTGGACGTTGAAGGAACCTAGCCAGGTGCTAGAGAACAGAGCAAATGTCTAGACAGGTGGCCCAGGATATCTGCAGACAGCCCACATATATCCTGATACCAACTTCCTATTGCTTGAAGTGACTGGAGACAGGCTCTAATTCTTGCTGCCTATAAGAGCAAAGGGCTTGTTTTGTGTGGCTGTGGTGTAAGGTTTGTGTAGGGGTCAGGAAAGAGAGGTGGGGGCAAAAGACAGGAGAGGCCAGGGCAAGTAGGATCATGTACCCCACATTTAGGAGCTGGCATTCTGTCCTGATGGTGAAAAGTTAGTCAGGGAAGGGACAGGATTCAGAAATAACACTGTGGTGGCCACTGGCCTGTGGGAAATAGGGCAAAGAGAAGCTGGAGGTTGGGAAGCTGGTGAGTGGATGAAGCCTGAGTGAAAAAACACAGTGCCCTAAACCAGGACAGAGAAGGGGAGGAAGCGGCAGGTTGTAGAATCATTTTAGAACCGGGAAAGATCAGACTTAGAGAAGCTGACACCTAGACCTACTACTGCCTGACAAGTGGGTCACAACTGCTTGGCACTTCAACCACCAAGGTGTTCTCATAGGCACTGGCACATCTGACCCTCCCCAATAACCCTACTGGCCATTTTTATCTCTACGTTATTTGTGGAAACCAAGGCGCAGACGGATCAGTATTAGGCACCCTAGACAACACTCCCTGGAAGGGAGGAATGAAGGAGCGAACAGAAGCGGGTACAGCAGACCTGATCTCTGGTTGGACAAGAAAGCCAGGGTACCTTCTTCAGAAAACACAAACCATCCCATCTCAGAGCAAGTTGGGATCCAATCTCTTTATTGTCAGAGTCCCCTCCCTGTGGCTCCCCCTCTCCAAACCTATAGAAAAAACCCAAGCCTGGGAGTGTCCTGGGGAGGGGAAGCAGAGTGTGGAGAAACCTCTGTGCTCTGCCCTCTGGCCTGGGCAGTCCTGACAGGGAGAGTACGTGAGGAGACAAGGCCAGAACTCCACCTGCAGAGGCTGTGGCACTGGCTGGGATGTGTGGGGGAGGAGGTGCCTGCTGCCAGCTCTCCTCTGGGACCCGCTGGGGGTGGAATCCAGGCGTGGGTGCCCAGCTTGAGGCCTGGTACAGTGCATGCCCTTCTCCTGCCGGTGGCCATCGCTCCTGTCAGGCTGAGAAAGAGAGAGACAAAGAAGAGACTAAGGGATTGGGAAGAAGGACGGGTGGAATGGTGTTTGCTGTTTGCAGACAGATATATATGCCTGCACTCTGGCTCTGGCCTCATAATTTTCTGGCCATGCAATCTTGGGCAAGTCTCGGTCCCCTGAGCCTCCATTTCCTCACGTGAGCCCCACACTCTACCTGTGAACAGACTTAACAAGGTAAAATTTAGCCTCCCTGGTAAAACAAACCACGAAGCTCCAAGAGGAAAGACTTCACATATAGAATTTCCTAAACTTAACCGTCTGGGAAGCCTTGCTGGAGTATCTCAGAGCATGAATGTGTCATGTGTAAAGACACCTCTGTTGGGTGGAGGCCTTCCTCCACCCAAGCCAGCCTTACTCTGAACATGGCCCCCAAAGGAATGGGGCAGAGTTGGCAGAGCTGGTGTGGCCTGGCTTCCCTCTAGGGTGGGACAGAGCAGGGTGGTGAACACAATGGCCAGAGACTGGGCTTTGAGGCCACACAAGACTGAGTTCAAATCAGGTTGGGGCAGCTTCTGGCATACAGGGCATTTCCTCCCAAGAGAATCACATCCCAGTCCCTAAGCCTGGCACAGTCATCACCCTCTGATGATGAACAGCTCTCTCTCCCTACTATGCAGAGCTGGGACTGCAGCCACAGGAGGAACCTGGCCATTTCCCACACGTCAAGGACTGCTAGAACTCTGGGCCTCAGCTAAGGCTGTTCCCTCAGATGCTTCTCCCTCAATCCTGAATAGGCTCAGCTACACCTCACCTCTTCTATCACACCCCTCTTTGACCTTTGGCTCTGTAGCCCCTATCATCCCGCTCACACTGGGAGGGAATGGTCTGTGTCTTCCTCTACCAGACTCGGAGCTCCTCAAGGGTAAAGACAGGCAACATGGCTCAGAGTTTGCCAAGGAAACTCCTGCTGGATGGGCCCAGCTAGCCCATTCATGACTCCTGTTCCCAAAGCCCACCAAACCCCAACCACAAAGGGGTGTGGCAGGATGAGGATGAAGCAGCCTTCATTGCTGGGCACAGCGATACCCTGCCAGGTCTGCTTCATTACATGCCCTCCACTTTACTTCACCCCTTGCCCACCAGGACCCCCCATACCTGCTTACTGCAAGGCCCCATCCTCCGCATCTGTATCCTGGCTGTGCTCCTGATAGAGAGGAGGCAACAAGAGACCACACATCACTGACTGCAAGCTCTGAGTCCTGCCCTGGGGCCTAGAGCACATCTGGAGACCACACTCAGAAAGGGGGAGAGACAGCCGAGGGGAATGACTATGGGACCAGTCTAAACAAGGCAGGTTTGGGATCCCAACACAGTTGTGTGAAGGCCCCTTAGGAGATAGAAAAGATCAGTCAAGGAAGTTCCAGACATGGCAAGGGTACACTTCTGCATAGAAAGACCTTCTGTGACTGGAGCAAGCTAAAAGCCTGGTAGACTGGTGGGCTCCCCATTTCTGGGGCATCTAAGCTTTCATTAGGGCCTTTACAAAGACTACTATGCCTGAAAGAGTAAGGTGAAGTATCAAGCTAGGTTCAAAGAAGGAGAGATAAGCTGGGCATGAGGAGGCGAACTTCTTAATTGTTGTGGCCATGAGCCCATTCATCCTTGCACCAGAACTCAGCAGTGATGAAAAGGAGAAAGTTCCAGACCCAGAGAAGAAGTCCAAGCTCCAATCCTGGCTTGGCCTTTATTAGCTATAAGGCCCTGAGCAAGCTACTCAACTCCTCTGAGCCTCAGTTTCTTCATGGGGTAAATGTGGGAAAACTAATACTTTGCACAGTGCAGGGCTGAAGCTAAAGTTAAATGAAGTTATAAAGGGTGGACTACAGGGTCTTGTGTTCAGTGAGTGTTTGTTAGGTAAATGAGTAGTAAGCACACAACAAATAGACACTCAGAATCTGGTCTACCTTCCTATTTAACATAAGCTCCTTGACAAATGGCTTCCCAGCCTTACTCTGAAGAATTCCAATAACAGACTGGGAGCTCGCCCCCTCATGAGAGCGCCTGTATCATGCTCAGGCAACAACGGCTTTTAGAAAATCTTCAGGTGGAGTAGATACCCACCTCCCTGTGGCTTCCCCAAGTAATCCCAGTCCTGCTCGCTGGAACTCTGCAGACCATGTGTGCTCCCTTGAGCCCCTGACTCTTCCCTTCTCCAACTCACATGGAAGAGTTTAGAATGGACCCTAGGCTTGAGAGAAGTTTGTCCCAGTCCTCAGTGGGACTTCTGACTGGCGGCTGAAAGAGACAACTACTCCCTGGTCATTCTCCCTCTTCCTCACAGGACTAGAACCCCTTGGAAGGAGGAAGGAGGGAGCTCACAGTGGGGCCAACCAGCTCAGAGGTTCCCCCTTCTTCTGATGCCCTCCTGTAACTAGGAGTGCCAAGTCTGGTCCTTGCCCCTCCCAGCCATGCCCTCACCAGCTCTTCCTCGCTGTGTGTCAGCAGCCCCTCCTCATCACCGTCGTCTCGAGCCTGTGCTTCTCCCTGGGGTGTGCCTGCGACAGAAGCTGTGTCCTCTTGGGGGGCTGGTGGCCGACTGTTGCCACCACTACTGCCGCTGCCGCTGCCGCTGCCGCTGCCACTGCCACTACCACTTTCACCCTTCTTCTTGCCATCTTGAGGGTGAAAGGGTGGGAAACAGGGGAATAAAACTCAGCCTGGGGTAGGTGTCGAGGCCAGTACCTTAGCAGAAACTAGGCCTCAGCGCGGTGCAGGTGGGATTGGAGGTCACAGCTCCCTCTCTGCCCAGGGCACTGTCCTCCCCACACTCAACCCTGTGCCCCTGGGAAGCTGACCTGGGTTGGCCTTCTGCTCTTCAGCAATCTGCTCCAAGCGGCCCAGCAGGGCATCAATGTTGGACTTGATCTGTGCCAGTTCTGTCTTGATGGCCTGCAGCTCACTGCTCTTTACTAGGAGTGAAGGGAGTACAGGGTTGTCACATGGAGACTGGGAGCTTGACACTAACACAAGACCCTAGCCCCATGCTGTCAACTAGGAAGGCAGGCCAGTGGTCGGAACTGTCCTTGTCCACAGTTCTTTTTCTGGACAGGGAAAAGGCTAGAGCTGCCTGTGGCTTCCCCCTGAGACTTTCTGGAAGCCATTCCTACAGTGACCAGCCCACTCTTCTGAACCTGTATCTTTTCCCCGACTTCTCAACTCTGAAAGGGACTGGGGATGAATAAGAATACAGGTGTGTGGTGTGCACCTGAGCAAGCATATGTGTCTTTGCTTGTGTTATAGGGTGGTGTCTTTCAAGGTGTGTAAATGTGGCTGTTTTATAATCAGATTTCCTGATTATAAATCAGGTGCCTGATTGCAGCACGTGCACTCGAGTGAACATGGAGTAGCAGGCCTGTGTAGACCTGTCCTTGTCCTTATTAGAAGAAAGATGACACCATCTCCTCATTGGGCTCCACATCATAGTACTGGACTCTGTGCCCAACCAAAGCCCCTCCTCCTCTAACGTCAGCCTTTTCCTCTTAGAAATGCATGAAAATACTCACTCGGTTGTGTTAGAGCTGCAGAACTGTGGGAGATTTGTTCCTTTATCTATTTTCCAATGTAAAAAAATGTGATTCTATTATTTTGCTAATTACAAAAATAAAAATTATCTAGGAAGAAGATACAGTCACTCACACTTGATCTTGGCTGAGCTGGTGGTGATGGCTGTGGAGCGGGCAAAAAGCTTGACAGGAATGGTGGTTTTGACACGTCGGACCAAGGGGACTGTGACCCGGGGTCGCTTCACGGGGACTGCCCGGGGCACTGGCACAGGTGAAAGGCGGCCCCGATAGTCGAAGAGCCTGTGAGGGCAAATGGGCCAGAGGCTGCAGCATGGCCTGTGGCCACCAGGTGGCACTGTGACTCTAGACCAATACATGTCTAGTTGATTAACGGCTGGGCAGCCTGCACTACGCATCTCTGCCGGCTCCCAACAAGCCCTAGGGGGTAAATAGGAAGGCCTTTCCTGACCCTAATAGCTGCTAGGATCCTCACTACATCCATCTTTCCTACCAGCCAGGCCAAGTAAGGAGAGAGGATTTGGCTTGTGATAATGGTTACAGTCCCATTCAACAGAGGAGTAAACTGAGACCAGCCCCAGAAAGGAGCCTTCCCTAGATCACCCAGACACCTAGGCCTGCTCTATTACTGGACCTGGCTTCTGCTCAGTCCAACTGCCACCCCAATCTCTGGAAAGAGCTTGCAATCTCTCTAAAGCCACACAAACCCCCAACTGAGAAAAGAGAGCTTTGGGTGTAGGGGTAAATCCCTAAGCCTGCCTGAGCCTCAGTTTTCCCATCTGCCTAATGAGGATGGCTACCCCAAATTCTGTGCTCCACCTCAAGGTCACTATGAGGGTAGACCATGAGAGAACTTGGTTAAAAAAACTTGGTTAGGTGTGATAGGTGAAAGGTCAGGGTACTGAGACACTCAGCTCAGGGGCCTAAGACATCAGAGGCACGAGGCTGGAATCCAAGACCCTTTCCTCATTCTGGGCCCCCTTAATCACTCCATCCTTCTTACTTTCTTTAGAGATGAAAGGCAAGAGGCCCCCCAACTATCAAGGTTAGGCAACTCGAGCAGACCCCTGGGCTCCCAGACTGTATGCTGCCCCCTCAACACTATCACCCAGCCCCCTCCAGAGGGGGCTTCTTTTCCTGCTGATCAGGCAGCAGCTCCGTGGGCTCAGTAGGGCTCACCACATCTACTGCTACTACCTTTCTGCAGGGAACAGCAGCCTGGGGGTACACTGTGGGATCACTTTCCTGATGACAGCCAGGAAACCTACCATCACTGAGCAATTCAATGCCCCAAGCCTTGGCACTCCTTTGTTCAGGGAGCCCCTGCCCTGGGGTGGTGATGGCTGGAGACAGAGAGTCTCTGGTAATGGACCCACTTCCAGACCCTGAATTTCTGCCCCCAAGGGGAGGGGGCGGCTCTGGCCTTGGTCAGAATCACTGAACCACAGAATCCCCGAGCTGGAGGAACCCTGAGGGATCACTTGGTGCATGCCCATTTCATACACAGGGAGGGAATTTGCCCAAAGTCACACAATCCATTCAGTGGCAGAGCTCAGATTAGCACCCAGGTCTTCTGTCTCCCAGGCTAAGGCACTTTATACTACGCTGCACTATCGCCTGAAACCATTCACAGGTGAGAAAACCGAGGCTCAGAGATGTTCTATTCTTCCTGGACAGCCTGGGGCAAGCCAAGCAGGAGTGGGGGAGGAAGATAAGTTTGGGCCAGAACCCACCATGATTTCCACTCAAGAATGTAACTGGTATCATGGAGTGCAGCCCACAGCTTCAAGGGTAGGTGTGGGTAAGCTTGGGGGTGGAGGGTGGGCCACATAGGCTACCAGGAACTAATTCAGACCTCCAAAGGGCTGCTGGCCTCTTGGCTACAAATATAAGGCCAAGAGGCTCAGCCTGAGCTCTGAGGTTCCTTCCAGCTGGCTGGGCACCTCAGAGAGGTACGGAGACTGAACAGCAGAAGCATGACGGCTCAAACTACCTGCACCCAACCCTGCATCCTGTTTAGTATTCCAAACTTGCTACATTTGTATATCCCTCAGCTGTCCAGTTCCATCAAATCCCATACCCCAGGATTACGAGGAGGAAGGGCGGTCAGAGAGTGGGAGACAGTGTGGGGTGGGAGACAGTGTGGGGTGGGAGGAGTGCTGGCCTGGGCACCTGCAGAACTGGACCCTAGTCCTAGCTCTGCCACCAACTTGTGAAGCAGCCTTGGGTAGATGCCTCTCCACACCTCGGCTTCAGTTCCCACTTGGAGGACTGAGTGGGCTGCACCAGCAATTTCTCAGGACCCTTCCAGCTTGGCTGTTTTCATGCCTGGGCACGCCCCTCCCCTGCTCACCTGTCGTAGAAGTCGTCCCGGTAGTAATCATAGTCAAAGCTGTAGCCACTGGGGAAACAAAGGGGAGAGGGCCAGGGCTTAGGGATGGCCACTCAGCCCACTCTCCATAGGCCCTCATCTCCAAATGCCTCCCCAGATTTTATGCTGGGCACACCGTCACGACTAGTATTCACTCCCTCTGTAAAATGAGAGACCAATCCCACCCAGACAGACAAGACAGAGTGCCCCACCTGTATATGGCAGATGCCGCTCTCTTCAACCCCTTGGGCCTGTTGGGCTTGGGCTCTCCAGCCATGTTGATGTCTGTGTGGAGGGAGGAGGCAGAGTCAGACATTGGCAAGACAGCAGGGTGCCCATACACATATCACCCTCATGCGTGTGCACAGCAATTTGTGTTTACATGATGTACACATGGACCTTACTCACTAATACCGCCAACAGAGCAGAAGTCTTCACACGTTAGACTCATACGCACACATCACATGGACGTGCTTATTTACATATTCATATACATTCAGACACACGCATGCTCACTCACAAACATATCACTCTCACACCACGTACATCACACATATATGCATTCTCAAGTACACACATGAGACACACTGTCACACACATGGTCACCCACAGATAATATACTGAAGAACACTCAGACCTGACTCCAACATCATATATAAAACTGCCCATACACAAATTAGCCACTGCCATTTCATGCAAACATTCTACTGAATATCTTTATGCCTAGAACAGCGCTTAGCATAAAATCTCAATAAATATTTGGTAAATAAATATACGCATATTTGCTTACATATTCGAGTATATTCTGACACACATTCTACATATATAGACATTCTAAGGTGTATGTCCACATATCCTCCACATGTTCACTTACATCCACCTACCACATATTCAAGAATACATATATACATATCCCTTCTCAAATAATCACATATATGCAGACATATGTGCACATACACGAACACTATACACGCTCCAAGGTAGAGTACCAGCATAGCTACAACACATGTATATAACACCAAGGGCAAGGGCACCTGCTTCACCTTGTGCTTCCAGACCCTCCTCATGGCCCTCAGAAAGGATTCTAACCTAAGCCATCTGTAGCCCAATGTAATAGGCTGTGCTAGTCCACTCTGTTCCCTTTCTCTGGGGAAACTGCAATTTAAGTGGAACCACAAGGCTTGTCAAGAGTCACTGTGAAAGCAGGGACAGAACAAGGAGTGTTTTCCAGAAGCTTCTAAAATTCTCCCCTACAGGCAGTGATTTTATAACTACAGATCTTCTTCGACTTATGACTTTATCAACCCGATAAAGTTGAAAATATTTACTGAAGGTTGAAAATGTCAACAAACTCATCATAAGCTGAAAACAGTGTAAGTGTAAGTCAAAAATACTTTTAATACATCAAACGTACTGAACATCATAGCTTAAGTTAGCCTACCTTAAACATGCTCAGAGCACTTACATTAGCCTACAGTTGGGCAAAATCATCTAACACAACACCTACTTTATAATAAGGTGTTGAATATCTCATGTAATTTATTGAACACTGTACTGAAAGTGAGAAATGGAATGGCTGTATGGGTGCAGAATGGTTGTAAATGTATTAGTTGTTTACTCTTGTGATCACATAGCTGATGGGAAGCTGCGGCTCACTGCCGCTGCCCAGCATCACATGAGAGTATCACACCATCACACTGTTACCCCAAGAAAAGACCAAAATTCTAAGTACAGTTCCTACTGAATGCATATTGCTTTCGCACCATTGTAAAGTTGAAAAACTATAAGTCGAATCATCCTAAGTTGGGGACTGTCTATATTTAAGTTACAACATCTCAGACAGGGGTAGTAGGTAGTAGTGAGGGAAACAGAAAAGGGGCTAAGAGAGAAGCCACAGAGTGAAGGCCAGCACCTGCTCAGGAGAATACCAGGAGTAGGGCCAGGAAGAGACACTTACCCAGGGTTTGCCCGGCCAGCACCCGCCCATTCTCTCCCAGGACAGCTGCCCGGGCATGGCGCTCATTGGCATACTGAACAAAGGCATAGCCTTTGTGCACAGAACAGCCGGCCACACGGCCATACTTGGAAAATATGGTCTCCACATCTGACTTCTTCACCACAGCTGTGTTGAGGTTTCCAATGAAGACCCGAGAGTTGATGGACTTTGGGTCATTCTTGTTGGTTACATTGCTTGTCTGGATCTTCAAAGACATGGTGACCACCTGAAAAGAGAGAGCCACTGTGAGGCTAGACCCCCAGGTTGGGCTCAAGGGCTATCCATGGCCCATATCCTGGCTAAACTGGATTGCTTTGTGCCTTCTCCCACATATACCTCTACAGCATCCAGCCTCCCTGTTTTTACTCATCTTACTAGCTGCTGACCTCATGCCAGGTGGATTACATATGATCCCTCATTTGGTACTGACATGATAAGCAGAACCAGGACATTTTACAAGAAAGGAAATATATATTTAGAGGTCACAATGCTAGTAAATAGCAGAACTTGGATTTGAACCATGGTCTGCTTGACTTCAATTCATTTAAACTCACTCCTTTAATGCTCATCTCAAACATTACCCTATTCAAGATCTAAATTTTAAGATCTTCCACAGCTTTTCTTATCTTCCTTCAATGTGGAGCCATGGCAAAGAGGTCACATGGTAACTGCATGGAATGTTTGCTCTAGAACAATACCCTATTATGAAAATTGCTCAGTCTGATTCAGACATGAACCAAGCTATGGCTGTCTTTATTGATACCAGCCATTTAGAAAAAGGTGAGCTAAATAAGCCTCACTGAGCAGAGCACTCACTGTGGGCTACGGCTGGCATACAATATTGAATAATCCCAAGACCTCATGAGTATTATTACTACCATCCATATCTTACCAGAAAGAGACTCCAAACAAGTTCACTAACTTGCCAGGAACGGGCATTCAAACCCAGGTCAGTTGGTCCTAGAGACCATTTCTTCGACTTTATCACCTTCCTTCCCAGAGCTAAAGCCAATTTAAATACTATAGTAAGTCAGCATATTTATCTGAAAATTGTTTTTAATAAGTTAATTTTTTAGAGTTACCCATTTTTTATACTTACTCAAATTTTGTTCTCTTTGCTTAGAGATGATACTATGTCCACACTTTGCTCTCTACACTCTGGAAACGTCTTTTACCCCAAAGGGCTGTACAAATTGCTCCTACCCCCTTCCCTGGACAGGTTGCATCTGGTCATGTCTCCAGAAGGAACAGAAGAGGAGGCTCAATTTCAGCAGGAAAGGCCTAACAGTAACCCTTGGCATTTATACTTCCTGGCCCAGTCTTCTGCTCATTGGCATGGGTTGGTGCAACTCCCTTTTGGAGCACTCCTGTCTCAATATCCCATCCTAGGGCTATTTCAGAAAGTGCTAAAGACCCCAAACAGTATATATAAAAACTTTTATCAGCCTCGGCTAACCATAAACACCTGCCTATTTACCTAACATTTTTGGGCAGACAGGGCTTTTTTCAGTGAATTAGAGAAGAGCTGAGTATAAGCTGGGAAATCTGTATCTTTTGTCTCACTGGGAAAAAGATCCTTTTCTCCTCAATCCTCCCAGCCTGGAATATGGCATGTTCTGACCAGCAGATGGCACTGTTTGCAAGGGAACCATAGGCTGGACCTGAGAACGATGCTGAGGAAGAACATGCCTCTTCGGCTAGGCTTGCAGTAGTAGCTCCATGGAATGACTGGGGTGAAGTGTGCACCATCCTAAGTAAAGGAAGGGGACTGAGAGGGCACTGCTACTGATGAAGGAGCAAGTGCCAGCTTTGTACCTGGCCCGGAAGGGACAGACTCTTTTTTGTTACTCAGTTTGCCTTTGCATCCAATCAACATTTATTAAGCAGTGAGGGACACAAGAGATTACCCATGAAAACACGTAACACAGTGTCCATATGTAGCAGGAAATGCTTAATGTATGTGGGTTCCTTGGGTTCCCTATTCCTCACAGTTCTCTCTGACAATCCCTTTCCTATTTGGATGAGAGGCCATTCAAGTTTAATTCTTTGTCCATCCATGGGTATATAAGAAGTTTGTGAGGCTCCTCCACGGACATCAGATAACTCTCTCCTGGGTGGTTCAGCTCAAAGCCATTAAGTTTTGGCCCAGGGAGATGCCCCCTGCTTTGGCTGAAGGGAACCAACCAGGCCTGGGGTGGGGACCAAGACAGAAAGAGGAGAAGAGAGGATGATGGTCCAGAAATCTGTTGGTGATTGCTGGCTCTGCCACTGACCTGGTAGGGACAGGACAGTTGGTAGGTTCCCTCAGACCTCTGCCAGGAGCCTCTAACACAACTGAGCAGGAAGCATTTGCTGAACACCTGTGCTTGGTGCTATGGTGGGATCAGTACTCACACCCTGGCTGGTGAGCAAAGTCCTTCAGGTTTGGCCCTACCCAATCTTTTCTCTCATCACCTGGGGTTTGGGACAATGTACATAAAAGGACTTGGCAAAGTGTGAAGCTCTTTACAAATCTAATAATTATTCTGACTAGTTAAGCTTCTCTACTCTACTAACACCGCCATTTGCGGGTTCATTCTAGATGAGGGTTAAGGTCAGACTGGAGCACATTCTGAATGATGCCAAAGGAGAGGCAGCCAGAAGCCATGTCACACAAAGGTCAGTTTTCTGATCTGTAGAGAAGAGACTCAGGAAGTGTAAGCATGTGGCCCCTCTGGGTGAGGAATCTCCAGAACTGAGGAGAAATGTCCACCTGAAGCATGCTCCAGGCATGCAACCCCTGTACTTCTTGCCTAAACAGCCCTCAATCTGCTTTCAAGGCCTGCACACTCCTCAGAGGGTAGGCTGTGCTGCTGTTGTTCGTACTGCCTAAGTCCCAGGGGATAGGTGTCTATGTAGGTATGGAAAAGCTTGAGTTTCTACCATGAAGCGCCTCAAAGTGAGGGATGGAGTTGAGGGTAGGAAATGAAAAGGAAGCATGCCTAGAATAGCTCACTCGGAACTGCTAGGTTCAGGTACAGAATCCCCAAAAGTCAAGAACTCTAAATTCAGACATGGTCTTCCAGGTTGTCATAAACTTAACAATTTGTTAGCTTCACTTATAAGCTTCAAATATTTAGACATATGATTACGTGGGTCTCCATCTGTTCTCTTGCTCTGCCCTGCACATGTTACAGTCAGGCCTGACAAAGCCTGGGGCACAGTAAGTGCTCAATAAATGTTAGGGAAGAAGCGGTGAGGATAATGTCCCAGAAAGTGGTGAGAAGGGCTAGCTGTGGCCCTGCCTTAAGGCCGGGGGTGGGGGATGGGGGGGGTGTCCTTGGGGGCTGAGGTCCCCAGGCATACTCTTCTAGTCTCTGAACCAAACACATCCCTCCACAGACCAACCATCCCCAACTCAATCTTCCCAATGTAATTCTTTATTGGCTCTTCCAAGCTTCTCCCTAGCTTAGAGTGGGAGCCCTAGAAAATATTGACATCCTATTCAGCAGAAGCTGCTTGACTCGATAAGCTATTCTAACCCCTGGGACAAGCTCCATCTCACAGATTAGCTGTGTAATTGAGAGCAAGGTGCCTGTAGCCCCCAGAGGCCCCATGCTTAGCAATGAACTAAGGAGAGGTGGGTAGAGTCATTGCTCTTGGCGGTGGGAGTAGGGGAAGTGAGAAGGGGAGAGAGAACCAGACTTCTCCTCAGAGACTTCTGCAACATCAGATTGGCAGGGACCTTAGTGAGCATGGAGCTTATATGCCCTCACTTTGAGGAAGAGAGGAGAATGGACTTGTCCAAGATGCCACAGCGAGTAGCAGGCCCAAGAACCCCATGGTTTCTCTGACTCTTAAGTCTAAGGTTCTTATGTTCCATTTTTCCTTTTGGGCTAGTGAGAAACAAGCCCCCAGGAAAGTGAAGAGCTGGGAGGCAACAGACCAGACATACTAGAGAAAACTGAGGACTGGCTCCCAAGTAAGTGCCTTCACCTTTACCTGCTGGAGAAACAACTGCTGCATAAAAGCTGGGCGCTTGAGATAATTAAAACCCACCAGGGACGCAGGCTTTGAAATGCAATTTACAGCTCAAAGAGATGAGCGCCCTTCACCAGTCTACAAGAATAGAGGAAATTTGGCAAAAACAAGTAATTTCTCCCAGTTGAAACATTTCAGAAGGAAGCTACATTTTGGACGACAAGAGCCAAGCCTGAACATGTGGTAAAATGACATGGCTTTGTAAAGGTAGAAAAGCTCTAAAGGGTAACTCCACCCCTGAACTCTGGATAAATGAGACCCCACAGAGGGCCATCACCACAAAAGAACAGCCTCTGATTACTGAGTGCCAAAGATGTGTCAGAGACTTTACATACTTCACCTTACTTAATGCTCCCAACAGCCCTATGAGGAGGTATTTTAGGTAGGGAAGCAGAGGCTCAGAGGCAAAGTAACTAGTTAATAGAGCAAGGCCAAAACTGGAACCCAGGTCTGTTTGACTCCAAAAACCTATCCATAGAGATGCTTTGGGTACTGATTCTCATGGTGAAAATTTGTCACCTTGAACCAGTCACACCCTCTCCTTGGTCCTCCCCTTCCCCTTTTCTACTTCAATGCCTCACATCTGCACAGGATTTTAATGAACGAAGCCAGTTTATATCCTTGATCCTGACATTGTTAGCCCCATTTCATAGTTGAAAAAGCTGAGGATCAGCAAAGATAGGTAACTTACCTTAGGTCATCCAGCTAGTGAAGGGGGTAGCTAGGGGACTTGAATCCAGAATTCTTGTTCTACATTCTACATGCCACTGTCTCAACAACTGTACTAAAGCTCTGATTCTGCCACGTCACCCCTCATGCTCTCCCAATCCTGCCTATCAGGATCAAGTCTAGCCTTCAGCCTAACCTCTGAGGTACTTAGCCATCAGAACACTCACTCCCACAACTCTGTAAATCCTCCCAGGACCAGATCTCTTCTTGAAATGCTCATTTCAAAAGAGGAGCTGCTGCTCTTGGTCCTGATGCCCCCTACAGTGCTATTTAGAGCCTCTGTCTGGGCCAGTCCTGCTGGATACCTCTGGCCTTATTCTCCAGCATAAGGATGGGGGGGGGGGGGGGGGGTGTCACACCAGCCTGCGGCCAGATCTCTGCCCTTAGATAACCCTGGGTACGTCTGGGCAGTTTTGAAAGAAAACAGCTATCAGTCTTGGGGAGGCTATTTCTAGAGAAAGCTAAGCAATCAGACTGATGAGTGCCCAAGGCCTCCTTGGTCCAGAGGCTCCTGCTTACCAGGCAGCCAGGGATAACAGAACATCTATTAATCTCATTAAACTCGCCAGGCCCCAGCTCATTAGCATTGCCCAAACAATCATTACTGGGCAGACAGGACTAATTTCCCAAGGAGTGCTCTTCAGTTCCTGACAATTCCCATTCCCATGAGAAACCCCAGTTCCCAGCACGCTGAACACTGACGGCTCCTGGGATTGGTGAGAGTGTAATGGGTACAGGCTACATGTCCAGGAGGCCTAGTCCTGGCTCTGCTGTTCTTAGTTATGTGACCTGCAACAAGTCATGTAATTTTTCTGAGCCTTATCATCCTTATTCTGAAAACAGAAATCTTTTTCCTGATTACCTTTCCAATCTGATATAAAAATCAAATAAGTGGTCTGGCCTGATGGCATAGTGGTTAAG